TCGGAAAATTATCGGAAATTGTTGAAAATCAATAGACTTCTTTGTCTCATGACCTTAAAAATTGTGTATAGATTTAAAGTCAATCAGATATTAATTGTGGACGCCGGAAGCCAGACAGGGACGACGGCAATATACAACCACATCTCTTCCACAGGGGAAGATTAAGACATTTATGCATTTTATGCCCACATTTTCATGTGGGCGTACATTGTTGTTGCCCCTCTCCGCCCGTCAATAATTTGTTTGTGGACACTCTACAGATCACAATTTTTAACAGATTTTGACGGAACTTGAAATATAGGTCTATCTCCCAAAGATCTTGGTTCCTTTCGATATTGGCATGTATCGGACCATAACTTCATGGTTTATGGCCCCTGATTGTACGAAAAATCACGTTTTTAGCTTGTGGATATTCTAGAGGTCACAATTTTCATCTAATTTTGATGAAAATTGATATACATGTTTATAACCCAAAGACCTTGGTTCCTTTCGATATTCACACATATCGGATCGTAACTTGATCCTGAATAATGGCTCTTGATTGTACAAATCATATTTTTAGCTTGTGGTCCCTCTACAGGTCACAAGTTTTATCCGATTTTAAAAACTGTTTAAATAAATCACCATTCCACCATAATGAAGGTTAAATTAAAATTTCGGGAAAATCTAAACAATTCAAAAAAATATTTAAATATATCACTGTTACACCATAATGTAGGTTAAGTTCAAATTTCATGAAAATCGGACCAAAACTGCTGGACAAAATGGCCACCCCTCATACGCAAATTATTGTAAAGATATGGTACAACAAAGTTGGGACCCTCTATAGGTCACAATTTTCATCCGATTTTGATGAAACTTGAAATGCATGTATATAACCCAAAGATCTTGGTTCCTTTCGATATTCACGCATATCAGTTAGTAACTTGTTGGATTATGGCCCCTGATTGTGTTTCCCTAGAGGTCACAATTCTTATCTGATTTTAACCAGTGGCTACCAGGCAGGATACGCCCACATTTTACAAGAGATGGATAGAGAACAAGCTAAAAACAAACACAATTTTTTGTACAATCAGGGGCAATAATCAAGAAAGTTATGGTCTGAAATGTGCAAATATCAAAAGGGACTGAGATCTTTGGGATATAAAGATATGTTTTCAGTTTCATCAAAATCGGATAAAAATTGTGACCTCTAGACGGTCCACAATCTTTGTATTACATACTTTTACACAATTTGCGTACAAAGAGCGGCCATTTTGTTGGGCAGTTTCATTTTGATTTTCCCGAAATTCAAATTCAACGTTCATTATGGTGGAATGGTGATATATTTAAACGATTTTTAAAATCAGAAAAAAAAATTGTGACCTCTAGAGAATCTGTGAGCTAAAAATGTGATTTTTCGTACAATCAGGGGCCATAATCCAGGAAGTTAAGTTCGGGTATCTGTGATTATCAAAAGGAACCAAGATCTTAGTGTGTAATGGTGATATATTCACATGGTTTTTATTTTAAATCGGATAAAAATTGTGACCTCTACAGGGACCACAAGCTAAAAAAAAAAAAGATTTTTGTTCAATCAAGGGCCATAATTCAGGAAGTTACGATCTGATATGCGCGAATATCGAAAGGAACCAATATCTTTGGGTTATAAACATGTATTTCATCGAAATCAGATCAATATTGTGACCTCTAGAGGGTCCACAACATTGATTTACCAGATGTTTACACTATTTGCGTACGGGGGGGGAGGGGGGGGGGGCGGCCATTTTGTCTGGCAATTTTGGCCGGATTTTTACGAAATTCGAACTCAACCATCCTTAGGGTGTACCGGTGATATATTCACACGTTTTTTTTAAAATTTAAATTGGATAAAAGTTGTGACCTCTATAGGCTCCACAAGCTAAAAACGTGATTTTTGGTACAATCAGGGGCCATAATTCAGGAAGTTATAGTCCGATATGCGCAAATTTCGACAAGGATCAAGATCTGTGGGTTATAAACATACATTTCAAGTTTAAACCAAATTGGATAAAAATTGTGACCTCTAAAGTGTTCACAGGCTAAAAATGCGATTTTTCGTACAATCAGGGGTCACAATCCATGAAGTTACGGTCCGATACATGCCAATATTGAAAGGAACCGAGATCTTAGGGTGATAAACCTATATTTCAAGTTTCATTGAAATCAGATAAAAATTGTGACCTGTAGAGTATTCACAAACAATTGTGGACGGACAAGGGGGACGACAATATACGTCCACATGAAAATATATCACCATTCCACCATAATGAAGGTTGATTTCGAATTTCGTGAAAATTGAAACAAAACTGCTTGACAAAATGACCTCTCTTTGCATGCAAATTGTGTAAAAGATGTAAAACGAAAGTTGTGGACCCTCTAGAGGTCACAATTTTTATCCGATTTTGATGAAACTTAAAATATATCTTTATATTCCAGAGATCTCAATCCCTTTTAATATTTGCGCATTTCAGACCATAACTCTCTTGATTATGGCCAATGATTGTACGGAAAATCGCTTTTGTTTTTAGTTTGTTCTCTATCCATCTCTTGCAAAATGTGGGCGCAGTTTGCCTGGCAACCGCTGGTTTTCCATGTCGGGCCCTCAGTACTGCACCACTGACAAGGGGAAATCTGCTGGAAAATTCTGAGGAATGTTATTGAACCCAGGACTTAGGGTTAGTAAACCAGAATCATAGGTTTCCTCCTTATGACTAGTCGCTTAATACCAAAATCACAAAAACTTGACTTAAAGATAATGTAACGGGAAGTTCGACAATATAGAGTATTGTTAAGAGTCTTTTCATTCAAATTTGATTTTTTATAGAAACCAGTCAATGAAAACTATTCATGACTAAATGAAGCCTACCAAGACAAGATTGGGACACAACTTTCACATTCCCATCTAAATCTTTAAGAGAATAAATAAAGCTATTATCTGTCTGTAAATTTGCACACTGGTTCCACATTCATCATTTACTTTATCACTAGACATCAGATTTTCTCTTCATCTCGAACAATATATTGAGTATCAAATGAACAATCCAACTGTTAATACAAGCAGACGACTAATCACTATCATTGATCTTTTGATTACATTGCTAAATTATGGTACATCTTTTACATAATAGAATAAAATACCGCCTTGCTTAATACAAAATCATTTCAATTCATCTACATGTTAAGTTTCATGCATTGTCATCACTATTTCTTTTTATTGAGTTTAATTCTTATTAGGCTGGTTTCACTAAATCTGACATACAGGCATCCAATGTAAAAATACATTTATTAGTAATATTTGTAGAAATCTTATAATTTATTTTCTATAGAATACGTCCCTATGAAGACAGTGACTGCAAGAAATTATAGAACCTTTCAGCGGTCATATCCAAAATCAAATTATTCTTACAGGAGCTAATCTTCTAACTCAATATTATCAATAATATTCGAAATTAAAAACACAAATTAGAATTAAATATTGGTCCATTTAAATCAATATTGACGTTTTTATATTACCACGAAAATATGAGATCATAATAGCAAATATTTTAAAACACAAAAAAACATTTTAAATCAGTAAACATTTACTCTATGGCTTTGGGTGCCATTTGTAAAAGAGAAAGAAAAAATGTCCCTCAGAACCATATGGAAGTAATTCATAATGTTAAAAAAAACCTGTAGAATGCACTAAGCAAGTTCAAATGACTGCCGTTCAATTTGGTCTTTTCACATAATAATATATCACTGGACATAACTGATTAGAAGTTACAATAAATATGTACTTTTAGACCCATTTATGTCTTTTTTAAGGTTCCTAAGAATAGAGCTATACTAACTTTGATCTTTATTGAGAATCTGCTTTGAATTGCACAGCAAGTGCTGCAAAGAATGGCAAAGAGAACTTCGATGAATAAAGAACATTGCCATGTACAGTGTGTTTTCATCTTGATTTACTACTTTCTCTAATTACCTTCAATACACATATTAATACATGAGAAGATCTTTCATTTTAGTCTTGATTGAGGCTACTACTAGCCTTTTTAGACTACTAGCCTTTTTACAATCAGACATAAGGTCTATAAAATTAATTTGATCTCTAGATCACTTTAATCTGAATACAAGTACAGATTATAATAAGTAAATGTCGAACAAGATAAAAGCAAGTGGAAATGATTGAATTAAGTGTGTGGGGGGGGGGGGGGATTATGTAATAGTAATAGTACTAGTAATAGTATTTTAAATTCAATTATGGTTTTCATTTGGTTTCTGAATTATCTCTTTGGCTTAATGTGTCTCGCCCTGCCTACGGCTTCGTCAGTTATTTACTTTTATATCTAATTTTAATGTAATCACTGTCCATTGTTTTATCGATAATCCTTGTATTTTTTTTATCGTTCGCTGTGTCTTTTGTCTTACTGCGCATGCATGGCACGCACTATTTAAGAACTGACCTCGTAGTGTCTCGGAGATTCAGATGAAGGATTTCAAGGTGAAAGGTTGCATGTTACTTCTTGTGTCTGGATACGTGACCATTTCTTGGGCTGTGTGTTTCAAATTCCCTTGACCATAATTTGGGCTTTTGCTCATACGTTGGCTGATACGCCTTAGTGTCTCAAGTTCTAACCAATGTTTTCTACGAACATGTTTTGTGGGTCAAGTAATTTTTTGGGCCTTTCATACAAAGTACTTAACGTCGGCTGTGGGTTGGTTGCATTAGTGGTTTGGGGACTGTCCCTTCCCATTTTTGCATAACTGGCTCCCACTCGTGTGTTAACTCTGAGCAAGTCTTTTATATATTTAGATTTAAGTCAACCTAAAATGTGCGCCTAATACAACGAAAAATACGGTTTGACTGCAAGTGGTATCCAAATGAATCTGTACAGATCTAAAAATGGAATTCTGATTCAGTGATGTCAAAGATTCAATTTGTTTATAAATAAATTGGTAAAATTGGTATCACCATATGAACCTTTTTTACTTACTTTTCTTGTTGTGTTTTAACTTCTGTCTTGTATTCTTTTTCTATTTGTTTGATCTCTTTTTCGATGACACTTTGAAGCTGTGGGCTATCTAATGTATATCTTTTTTTTAGTTCCTCCCTTAAAAAATGAAATTAATCATGGATTAAATCATTTTTATCAGCAATTCCAGGTTTCAAAATATATCTTGCAAAATCTAGCCTGAAGAGTAGGAACACATGGTTTTCAGTGGCTGTGATGAGGACATTAGCCCTTTTGTATGTGAATTGGCCTAAGCAGAAAATGTTCATCATCAAGATATTCACCTAATGATTACACCAAGTTTGATCATTCTATCTCAATTAGAAGCATCAACTAAATCAAAAAATCTAAAAAACATCATTCCAAACTTAGGAATTTCTATCACCTAAAAACCTTTTGTTCAATTTAAACATTATCTAGAATTATCAAGGAATATAACAAGTTTTTACAAATTTTAATGAAATGGCCTGGATATAACTATAAGTATGAAAGCTTTCACTACTAGCAGTTATTCATTCTATTCCTAATCCTGGAAATCATACATAAATGAAATCTATAATGTATTCAAACATGTTTAACACCAAGAGGTGCAATATTTAACATTATTTTAAAATCAATGTGAATTTTTTCAATGATGCACATTTTGGAGTGTGCTTTTTCACATTCAAAGGCATTCAATAGACTGTTCAGTAAAATCCTGTTCTTGAAACACTATAGAATCTTTGAAACACTATAACTATAAATAAATCGTTCCCGCGGGGATATATTTGTTGGTGAAAAATACAAGTTGTTTAACCTGCACTTCAACTTATAGTACATGATCAACAAATCTAAAATTTCTATTGCACTATTTAAGCGATTAAGTACATACATGTAAACATTTTAATTAAATGTAAATCTATGCAGTGTGAAACCCTAATAATGGAAGAGTAAAATCAATGGATTATATATAGTCTACAACTGATAGTCTCTTCCATATAGTATTTAAGTGTAAATTAACGGATTGAAAAATCATTCATGACCAGTTTCCAATTAACTATTTTTGTATTTTGCAAAGCCATCTCCAATCCACATATGCCTATAATTCAGTAATTTTTTGATCTGGTTACAAGGTTCAATAACTGAATGAATTAAACTTGGGCGTCAACAAAATTGTATGCGCAGTCGTCATGGCGACTGCAAACAATCATTCACCCACTAATAAACAAACAGTATTTCCATAGCATATTATTATTTTTAAAGAGCGCATAAAATGAACAAATAATGTGAAATAAGTTTTTGTGTTTTTTATACACTGAAACAGAAAAGTCATCTAAATCCATTCATAATTGATGTAGAGATCTTCACTCAAAGTAGAAAATATAGCTCTGTCATAAAAAAATATTTTGCTAACTATGTATAAAACACTGATTTTTAATTAACTTGATTTCCAGTACAGAAGGTCGTAGAACAATGAATATTTATAGGACTTGTTCTCTCTTCCAAATGCTTCACACCATATCTGATGCAAATCCATTAAAGATTATAGTATCTATCATGTTACAGCTATGTTTTTGGAAAAGGGGTGTTAACTCTGGGACTTGAAGCTGTGAAATTCTGAATATTGATATACTCTAGGTAACTCCGGAAACGAAAGGTTGCAGAATGCTGATTATCAATAGGGTTTCATCCTTTCATGACCCCACTGATTCCCACAAAACTTGAAAAAAGATCTGTCAAAAACTAAAGCCTCTATTGTATCAAGAATCAGATCAACCCAATTTTATACCTTATTTGATTGACCGAACTGAAAGAGGTTTAGTTCCTTTAAATATTATTCATAGACCTACAGATTCATGTAATATCCAGTTGATCTGACATTACTATATGATATCCCATGACAATGATAATGACACTGAACTCTCAAATTTATTCTCAGATTACTTTGAAATAAAAATACAGAAAATACAAACTGAACCTGATGTTTTAAATAAAACTACTGACTTAAACTCTCCTGATTCTGATAAGGTTGAAAATTCTGTTTATTTAGAAATTTTTACTTGGTTAGTGAATCTTTTGTTTTAAACTTAATTAAATTATCTGCTCCTAAATCTTATTCTTTGCATATCATCTTCTACTATTCCAAACATTTTCAAACAAGCATATGTTGCCCCTTTAATTAACCAGCGGCTGCCAGGCAGGATACGCCCACATTTTGCAAGAGATGGATAGAGAACAAGCTAAAAATAAATGCGATTTTTTTGTACAATCAGGGGCAATAATCCAGTAAGATATGGTCTGAAATGTGCAAATATCAAAAGAGACCGAGATCTTTGGGATATAAAGATATCTTTTAAGTTTCATCAAAATCGGATAAAAATTGTGACCTCTAGAGGGCCCACAACCTTTGTATTACATACTTTTACACAATTTGCGTACAAAGAGCATCCATTTTGTTGGGCAGTTTCATTTTGATTTTCCCGAAATTCGAATTCAACATTCATTATGGTGGAATGGTGATATGTTTAAACGATTTTTAAAATCAGAAAAAAAATTGTGACCTCTATCATATACCTTTCTAATCCAATTGTGTCTTCCTACAAACAGTGAACGAATTCACTCAAATTGGTCAAATTATGCAGGTTGGTCGATGACGTCATGATTGTGCTGCGACGTCATCTACCGCGATGTCATCGTATGAAACGTCAACGTCAGTTGACGCCGCATATTCTAGATCGCATATACAAAGTTTCATTCCACTAGGACAAACAAGCTCTTAGAATTCTCCGATTGAATGAAAATTAGCAAAATTGAGGCAATTTAACAAGGTGTACCTAAACTTTTGTTATAGACTGTAAAGTCTTCACTTGATCCTAATGACAATGTTTTTAAAAATTTACAGATCTGTCTCTAACTTAAGTTTTATTTCCAGAATATTGGAGAAATGTATTGCTTCTCAGATAAAGGCTCATCTAGACGATAACTGTTTGTATGAAGCATTTCAAAGTGCTTTTAAACAATTTTACAATACCGAAACAGCTTTAACCCTGGTTTTAAATGATATTTTTGGGGAAATTGATAATAGAAAAATGTACATTTTTAATTTCATTAGATCTGCCGCTTTTGACAAGGTGGATCCATCTATTCTTTTATGTAGACTTCATTTTAAATCTGGTATTTGTGGCTCTGAATTAAATCTTTTAGAAAGCTATCTTGTGGGTAGAAAACACTGAAACTTTTGCCCTGGGGTGCCACATAGGCTTGTGAGGGCCCTGAGCTCAAGTAAATAATATTTGATATTTGAATATCAGAAGTATAGGTAAAATACATAAATTTTTAACTGTGGAATCCACATAGTCACTTGTTATTTCTCTGGTCACTTCTCGATTAGATAACTTTAATTCACTTTTTGTTGGTTTACCTTTAAAACTTCTAGATAATTACAAAAAAATCCAGAATACTAGAGAGAGAGAGAGAGAGAGAGAGAGAGAGAGAGAGAAATGACGTTTAACATCCACTCAACACAAACTAGGTCATTTTGGGACTAGCATATGGTTCAATTTTATTTCAATAATTCGCTTGTGTAGGGGTATTTAGCAGTGGGAGAACAGGCAACCCATCCCCTTGTAACGTACAAGCAGGGAATTGAAACCACGCTACTTGAATCAATGACAGATCTTATGATGCAACGCGCACACGTTGATCATTCGGCCACCCAAACCCCCGTCCAGAATACTGCAGCTAGACTTGTTACTTTATAACTAAGAAATATGAACACACATCTCCTGTTTTATATAATTTACACTGGTTACTTGTTAAATATCGAATTGATTTTGAGATTTTATAACTTACTTTTAAATGTTTAAATAATTTAGCTCCTGTTTACCTCTCAGATTTTGTAGAACTTTATACACCGGGACAAACATCAGATAAGCTACTTTTAAAGCCTAAAACTGTTCAACTAGTCTCTTATTGTCAGTGCTCTTTTAGTTTTTAAGCCCCTGTTTCATGGAATAATCCACCATTTAGTTTAAGCACATCTCTACATTCTTTTAAAAATCAACTTTAAAACACATTTATTTAAACAAGCTTGTATTTGACTCTGTATACAACTGTTAACATGTCCATAATCTTTTTTTTATTTTTTTATGATTACATTGTCACTTTGTAAAGTGCCCCCTGACACATTATGTGAAAGGGTGCACTAAAAAAATGCTGTAATAACAACAATACAGAATATGTAGAGATAACATTCACAACAAGGAAGTAATTTACATGTACAAGAGATATCATTGTTTGAGGTGCAGAAAATCAAGAATATATATTTCTGTTAGTTTTGTAGGCTGTGGCGATCCATGAAGTAAAACTTCAGATAAGAAACAACAGATAAAATATCTAATCCTATGTTAATTAAAAACTTCAAGATTGTTGTTGACTTGACACTTGACTATCTGATATTTTATTGATATTCTCGATGAAAACGTGCATATACTGGAGATAATTGCCAATACTTAGTTTCACAACCATCTGGAAACTGCGTAATTCATATAATAAATGGTCAAGTAACTCTCTATGCAACATTTATTTCATATCTGCTTTGCCTTTACAGAAGATAGGTTGCCAGGCAATGAAATATACGCCCACAGCAGCTAAGTCATCTGGGTAGTTAACAAAAGTTGTCGCATATTTGTTCTTTTGTTGGTAATGAAACATAAATAATACACTAAAGTCTTATTAAGAGTAACAACTCATTAAGTAATTAGAATTTGTTTAGCTTCTATAGTTCTATCCCATGCCATTTAAAGGACAATATTGGTGTCAGTCATAATTACATATGTGATAGAACTGGTTAAATACATTCCAAATATAATTTTAACACAGAGATCATTGCTACGTGAGATGTGTAACAAGCACATGAAGAAACGGGAAGTGACGCCAAACATGACAAACACGAGTTATCCTTCTATGTATCTGACTGATGTAACGAGCGATAACAGATAAACATGGATGTGAGCAAATTTCTGGCGTTATATCTGAAAAAAGGTGAAACTACAAAAAAGGTGCCTGGCTGCCTTAATCAATTTTAAAAAAAGCTTTACAGTTATTAGACGATGTAATAAATTGCAAACAAGATAAATAGGGCATGGTAGAGAGTATCATCTTTCGCCAGGAAGAGTTAATCCGCCAAAGTTATTTATTCCACAAGAACAGTTACAATATTTAGTTGATAAAGATCTGTAATGTGGGAGTTAAATAATGCGAAACTAGAAACAAAAGTTATATTAATTAAAATACAACTAGAAACAAAAGTTGTATTAATTAAAATACAAGGCGAGCCTAATTAGGCCTATATGTACCTCTCCGACAAGACTCAAGAGTTAAAAAAAACAAACCTATATTATTGACGGTCGGATGGTAACATGTTAGTAATAGTTATTTAATTTTAATCATTAGCATTTTATACTTTTGCAAAGCGGAATTTTTTTTTTAAAACAAGTATCCAGTAACCAGTATGTAGGCCTAATAAGTTTTATGTGGTCTTCAATAAAAATACAGATGTGACGGCATCTTTTGATATGGGCGTACAAGTACTTCAAATAAAGTACACCTCTATGGTACCTACAATTAAACAATTACCTACAAATAACATATTACGTTAAATATTGTTTTACATAATTAATTAATCACCACGTGTTTTTATTAGTCAAAATCAAGTAGGCCTACGCCGGATCCGTTTACTTTATTTGACATGCTTATTGTTTGAAATATATGTGTAGCCTATATTGTGCGTCGTGTCCACAGGATTGTATTGTGTAATTGTTTATGTGTGATGCGGTTCTCCTGCTCTTACCATTCTCTCAGCTAACCGAAGAACTCCAAATTCATCAGCCGCTTATATCAACGTAGATTTATGACGTTGTGTGCCCATAGTCCCTATCAGGAAGCATTAATCTTAGTCCAAACGATAAAAACAGATGAGTTATGACGTCATCTTCGGCCGAACTCGGAAACACGCCCCTTTCCTTATATGGTCAGTTAGATTGGAGAAATTGTGATAGTCGAAAATGCAATGGAGAAAATCTGATAGTTGAAAATGCAAAGATGAAAAATTTACAGTGAATTTGCAAAGGCGAAAAGTAGAGAGGGGAAAAAACAAAACTAGATTTTTAGTTTGTTAACTTTTGTCGAGCAATTTTGTTTGATGGTAAATATCCATTAAAATGTATGAAGTGTTATATGATTTTTACATGTGAAAAATCTCGAAAATGGCCATTTTTACCATTTTGACTATGATAATAAGGCAACGATTCGGCTCCATAGGTGAGAGGGTATCTCACAATTCAAAAATAGAATTGGCTGTCACTAGATAAGGGAAAACGAGAAAAATAGAAAAATCCTGTGCATTCCCCCATTTTTATTCATTCTGTTCTTAATAAAAACATGGTAATGCACGAACTTTTTCTAATTTGTTTGTTATCTTTTATCTAATGACAGCCAATTCTTTTTTTGAATTGTCAGATATCCTCTCACCGTCTCATATAATAGCTTTTCATCTTCAACTGAATTATCAGTGAAATGAAATTCGATCGCGTGTCTGTTATCGCTCGTTGCTTCAATCAGTTATATAGTAGGATAACTCGTGTTTGTCATCACTTCCCGTTTCTTCAGGTGCTTGTTACACATCTCCCGTAGCAATGATCTCTGTGTTAAAGTTATATTTGGGATGTAATTAACCAGTTCTATCACATATTTTATAATGACTGACACCAATATTGTCCTTTAACATCATGATTTAACAGTTCAAGTTATCAAAAATCATTGAAAATTAATATACTGGTTCGTCTCAAGACCTTGTATCAATCTAAAGTCAATTGAATGATCATTTTGGCTTGTAGAGCATCCACAAGATTCTTCGAAGTAATCAATGGCCATAACGCTGGCAGTAATTATAGGTGTCTTCATCTCATGACCTTAAAGACTGTGTATAAATCTAAAGTCAATCGGATATTAACTTTAGCCTCTAAAGCGTCCACAAGATATTCAAAGTAATCAAGGGCCATAACTCTGGCAGTAATTTAGGTGTCTTCATCTCATGACCTTAAAGACTGTGTATAAATCTAAAGTCAATCGGATATTAACTTTAGCCTCTAAAGCGTCCACAAGATATTCAAAGTGATCAAGGGCCATAACTTTGGCAGTAATAATCAGAAATTGTTGAAAATCACTAGGATTCTTCATTTCATGGCTGTAAACACTGTGTATAAATAACTTTAGCTTTTATGTATGTATTTGCAAATAAACTATACAGATTTTTTTAAAAATGTGGGCGTATAAAAAAGCTGTTGAGCCATTCGGAAATGATTGTCAAAACGGTTATGCTGGTTGCATAACTCTACTAGAACGTTCACCTACAATTTTTCATTGTAATTGTTAAGATCCATTAATGCAACTAATGAATATCATTTGCCAAGAATTAATTAAATATTAAAATGAAACAAAAGCATTCAAAATTCTATTACTCGCTGATATCCTCCGCCACAATCCCAAAATAAATAGATGACACATATCAATTAATTGCACATTTATCTTTTTGAAAAGTATTGAGCAATGAAACTGATTATCTATACTAAGTCTGAGCAGGAAATGTTCACGATCGAACTCAGTCAAGATTTTGAAGTACCTGGTAGTGAAACACGACACTCAAAGTTATCTTGTCCCAAAGCATTGACAATGAAATTGCTTAGCTCTGCTTAACTATAGCCAAAAATGTTAATCACTGAACTCAGTCAAGACATCCACCTAATGAACATCTATACTCAAGTTTAAACATACTACCTCAATTAAAAGCAGAGTTGTTATGTTCCAAAGTTTTGACCAATCAAATTGCTTATCGCTCCTTAGCCTAAACAGAAAACTCTCATCAAGGTATTGATATAACAAATTTATCTGAGTTTCAAAATTACCAAAGTTATCATGTTCCAAATTCTCAGCCAATCAAATTGCTTATCTCTGCTATAGCTTTAGTGGAAAATGCACATATTCGAACACTGTCAAGGCATTCATTTAATTAAACACCTACACCAAGTTTGGACATTGTACCTCAATTAAAAGGAGAGTTATTGTGTTCCAAAGTATCAACCATCAGATCGATGTTTCTATTGAACATGAGCAGAAAATGTTTAACTTAGTCAAGGATTGAAGTAAAATTAAACTATACACTATCATTTATCAATATGCTTGATGGTGAGCAAAATGGCAGCAGGTACTTGCAGTAAAAAATGTTTTGTGTTAAATTCTAGGACAATTATACACCAACGTACACTAGGTTAGTAAACTGATAGAAACTTCTTGCTTGTAGAAAAGTTACTTAATTGATTCACTCCTACACTATACACTGCAGGCAGAGTGATTAAGAATGTGGATTGAGCATTGTTTATAGCAAATCTGGGGATAATTTATATTCACAAAACATGAGCTGAAATCAACAGCCCATTTGGCTACATAATTCAAGATCAGAGTGGCCTGACAAAAGCTGTTGCGAATATACAGAGTTAATTAGCGAAGAATAAGTTACACAACTTGGTGACATCATGACTAAGGATGTATATAACGCTATAAACCATGTAATCCAACTCAATACAATTAACTAAAAACATTTAACAAACAATATATTATCAGCATTTTCTTACTAGTAATCAGGAAATAGTGTTTTTAAAAATAAAGTTGAGCTTTTGGAGGAAAATGTCATTTATTAATGTAAATAACCTGATAACAAACTGTACAAAACGTACTTCAATATGTCATTTAATTTACCTAATCTAACTAAAACATAATGACTGTACCTACACAAAGTACTTCAATAACCTGATGTTGGGCTTAACAAGATGACAAAATATGGCACAATAATACAAAAGATGGCCCAACCTCAGTACCTAAACAAAGACAATACAATTTAAAAATCAGTAAGAATCAAGCATAAAGCAATACAAATTAAACCAGCGGCTGCCAGCCAGGATACGCCTACATTTTCGAGAGATGGATAGAGAACAAGCTTAAAAGAAAGTGATTTTTCCTACAATCAGGGGCCATAATTCAGGAAGTTACTGTCCGATATGCGCGAATATCAACAGGAACCGAGATCTTTGGGTTATAAACCTACATTTCAAGTTTTAACAAAATCGGATAAAAATTGTGACCTCTATATGGTCCACAACCTTGATATACCATATTTTTACGCTATTTGAGAACGTTATTTTACGCTATATGAATAAACAATTGTGGACGTCCGGACAGGGCGACGACAATATACGTCCACATAAAAATATGGGCGTATAAAAATCCTGCATATGCCAACAGATATAATGCAATGCAATTTATGGTATTTTGGAGGAGGGGTATAAATGCAACTACCTGTGTTCTTGTTCTCTATTGGCCAGTAATTCTTGAAGTTGGTGGATTTGATGTTTCTGTTTTTCTGACGATTGACGTAACATATCAACTTCTCTATTCAGTGCGGCACATCTCATCTGCACTTCTTGATATTTTTTATTCTGAAGATATGGTTTAAATCTAAGCATTATATTGTTAAGAAGCATTAAGATTACATATACATAATCTATATTCTGATGGCTAATGTATAAAGCCAATACTAACAGGTCTGATTTATTAAAAAAATTCATTTTGGCAGGGTTCTTTCTAGTGTTTGCCCATGTAACCTCTTCCAAATAATCACATCATGTTTTCAAGAAATCCATTCACAACTGTCTACAAATAAATGCAGAGGTTAACCTAGTATTTTTCTTCCTCCACTAATGAATGAAAAACCTAAGCAAGACAATGCTTTACCTGCCCAGTAAATGTGGGCTTATAAAAAAGTTTAACAACAGTGCTATTAATGACCATTGCCATGAACATCAACAATAAGATTTTTTTTCTTGTCCAGATCTCAATATAATGTGAAAAAATTGAACTAAAATTTAAAATATATATCTTAAGTAGTCATAATACAACATTTTAAACTGACATGGGACAGAAATTAATATTTGAAAAGTTGAGTGACTTTTGTAAGAAAAGGTCACTGAAATCTTACAATATGAGCATCTTGTTGAAGTTTCTCTCTCTCTTGTTTAGTTAAAGTTTCCTCCATAGATTTTATAGCTTCTTTCTGTGATGATTCATGTTGTCTTGATTTACATAATTCTTCTTTCAGTAGTTTGACCTTCTCCTGTATAAGTTAATATAAAAACTGCTGTGCCAATTCTTTACATATGAACTTTAGTGTTAGCTTTTAAAACATTTTGATCAGTATTTTTAGATCATAGATTGTGGCTTATATGGCCCTGTATTTTATCATTTGAAAAATCTCCAAAACTTCATCCATTTTTCTTTGAAATTAATGTCTTGACTACTTGGTAAATGATTAAACTGCCAAAAGGTATCAAGAATATCCTTATCTTTCACAAAGCCATAGATGAAAAAGCATATAACTTTACCTATAAGCGACATCTCATATTAATTCAGGCTTATACAATTAAATTCAAATTCAAGTGATCCCCCACAAGAATGGGCAACTCCAAGAACCAATTTCAAATTTAGACACTTTGTATTTGATTTAAAACAATTTTCGTGGACTTACATTCTTTATTTCATAATAATTAATATACTGGTAGATGACAAGTCATCGATAATTTGTATTTGAAATGTGTTTTTTCCTAATCAAAAGTCTATAGAGCAATGAGTAATTTGATTGGTCAAGACTGTGTAATAAAACTTTCTAAATGAGGTAGAATATTCAAATTTGGTGTACATAGATGCTCTTTCTTTTCTAAGGCTGACCTTAAAAATATCTTTGTTTCGCCTAACGCGACCGACTAACTAAAACCACCCCCGACTTAAATTATTTTATTGCACTTTTCCACGATCTTTTTATTTTATTTTGTGTGTCAACCTGAAATATATCATGAGAGTTATTTCCCTATACTATGGCTATGGTTTGATTCATTATTGAAACTGGTTGATCAAGACGAAAGCGTCATAGGTGTCGCTTCTCAACAAAATGGTTGCAGACGAATACACGTCCATTCCCACGAAATAATTCTGCCTCTATGTCTGTGGTGCGTAGTTTTAACCATGACGACGATATTTTCAATATCCGTTTTCGAGAAAAATGAAAGCACAACGCGCACTATCGTTAAAAACGTGTTGAAGGAGTTTCACACTTCAAGTTCGTGGCTAATCGTGTGCGAGTCGGGCATCACGAAAAATCCCGATGTCATTGATTTGTTTGCCAATAAAGAAGACGAATGTTTCCACCCGGAAAATTATTAAGCTGTCAAATTAGCTCTTAAGTTTAATAAAAACTTTCAGTTCGTTACTTTTTACGTCAGACCCCAAATTCATTAAACAAAATTAATGAATCTGTAGTATACAGCTAATAAGTTTTCTGTATTGATTTCTCTGACTTTAAAAAAAAATCTGAAAAAAAAACCGACCTACCGACCCTTCTCCTCGATTGTGGGTCGGGTTTGGTGAAACAAAGATATTTTTAAGGTCAGCCTAACCAAATATTTATTGGTTTAGGCTGCAACAATTTAAATTTTGCTTCCTATTTCCAAAATTTTAAGTTTTTAAATGTAAAATTAACATCATACACAAAAACATGAGTGCCTATTTATATTGGATTGGCCTTAGTGACTCCCAAAGAGTTCATTTTTATTCTTTTCCCTTCATGCAGGGGTTATTCAGTTACCCATTTGTGTCAGTCAACAAAAGATTTATACTGTACTAAATATAAATATTTCCTACCTGTAAACTATCTGATTGTGCTTTTAATTTTTCTTTGGTTTCTTTTTCGTTCATTAGAGCATTTTTCAGATGAGATGTGGCGTCTATTGCTGTCGCTTTTATATTACTATCTTCTTTAGCTAAAATTTCATTATAATATGTTAAATTAAAACTCAATTAAATTACATGTACACTGATCATCCAAATGCTGAGACAGATGTTAATTTTGTCATAAAACTATTATAAGCATTAGTATTGCCCAGACCAGAGATCTTAATAGGCTGTTTTTTGTCGGCTTTAGCCACTTGAAGTTCAATCAAGCCGATTGGTAAAACAATGAACCGGCAACTATATGATATCGTAAATGAATCTACTTTGACTAAATTACAACAGGTTAATTATTACTTGTTACAATAACAGTCATAACTTAGTGAGAATTTGCCATGTGGTTCCATAATCCAATTAATTAGTACAAATAACAGTAATTTTGATAATCCGGTAAAAAAACAAAAGAAAGCTTGCTAATTATTCATCACAGAGAGATGGAGTTTAACATCAACTCAACACAAACTACGTCATTTCGGGACTAATAGTAATACATGCTTCAATTTTATTTCAATAATTTGCTTGCGCATAGGGGTCTTTAGCAGTGGGTAGAAACGGGGATACCCGGAGAAACTCCAGGCGAAACTACTCCTGATCACCTACAACCGGGGAATCAAAACCATGTGGCAATCGAAGGAAGACGATCTCGGCATAGATTGTGCATCTATCATGCACCTTCGACGCACAATATGAATTCCAGGTGTAGCCGGTAGATATTAAAATGATAATTGGATCATAATTTAATGGTTTCACTGACTAGTTGTTAGTTAAATTTAAATTTTAGTTGAATATATATAATCCTTAGACAGAACAAAGAATACACGGTCATTAATAATATATTATGAATCTCCAATGCCAAATCCCCCAATGCCCCCAATGACAGTGACATCGGTTGGAATTAGGTCAATAAACCAGTGATGCTAGTTTTAATTTTAAATAGCATTTACCGTTGTGATTTTATATTTTATACACATGCTGACAGAGGCTCAATTTTAAAAATATTGTCATTATTATCATTGAAAGCCATAGTTGTTAGGAATTTAATTTTAAAGCCATTTCAATTATGGTTGTCAGTGATCACTGTGAGGTGTGTCTATCATGGATGGATGAATGAATAAAAGCATTTGCAAGTTACATGATAGAAAAAACCTACAAATTGTGTTATGAAGAAATACCATGGTGCCGTATCAGCTTATATCCATCAAAAAAAACAAATAGGCTACAGTAATTTATTCAGGAATATTACTGACATGAATTTCAAGCTGTTACGTGAATTAAATATGAAAAATTTTCCGAACAGTGTACCTATTTGTCGTTATTTTTGTAGTAATTAAATACAGTAGAATACAATATTCCTCATAACAAATTACCAAGAACTATTTTTGTTGATGTCTGGTTATATTTAACTAAGGGAATGGAAGCTTAAAATGTTAAAACCCTGTTCCTACCGGGACCTCATTTGACCCAATTCTGGCCGGTTTGTTTCAAAATGGATTAAGAACCCTGGCCCAGACGTACTGTTAAAATGATTTATATCTTACAACAATTCTCTTAAGCTTTTTATTACTTGGGTATGATTAAATCTTTAGACAATATAAGCAAGTACCCACAGGGGAATATGCCTTTTGGAACATACTATAATGTTCATACCTTTTTCTTGTAACTCTTTTATATAGTCTGCTAATTTTTTAGTTGCTTGCTCAGACTTCCATCGTCTTTCTCTCTCTTGTTCCAGTTCTTTCATCATTTGCTATTTAAAAAAAAAGAACATAATAGTAATATTCGTTTGAAAATGACAAGTAAAAGGACAATGAAAAAATAACATTAATTGAAATGTTGCCAACAATAAGGATTAATGGTATTGTTTTATTATTATTATTATTATGAACATTTTTACAGCGCACAATTCACTAGGTGCTCAAATGCGCTTTACAAAACATTATAAATTATCACACATTATAAATTATTACAAAACAGTATCACAGATAAACAATATAATCATAAATTATTTAGTAAACAAAATAACAGAAGTCAGTAAAATAAAATATTACTAAGAGATTCACAAATAATTAAAATCGTTATAAGCTAAAGGCTTCTTTATATAAGAAAGTTTTGACAGATTTTTTAAAAACAGAAAGAGACACAGCGTTTCTGATAGAAAATGGAAGCTTGTTCCATGCAATTGGCGCCTGTACACTAAAAGCTCTATCACCAATTGTTTTGAGTCTTGATCGTTTAGAACATAAAATTAATGGATCAGAGGAGGAACGAAGCGTTCGGGACGGAGTATATAATTCAAGTAAATCTCGTAAGTAAAGAGGTGCAAGACCATTAAGACATTTAAAAACTAAAAGAAGGATTTTATATTGAATTCTAAAATAAATAGGTAGCCAGTGTAATTCAATTAAAATAGGGGTTATGTGCTCTCTAAACTTTGATCTGGTGATAAGCCTTGCTGCACTATTTTGAACCATTTGTAGTTTATTAATTAAAACATCTGGTATTCCTGCTAAAAGGGAGTTGCAATTATCTAATCTTGATGTTACTAGGGAGTTTACGACAGTTTTAATGGCATCAATAGTGAGGGTTGACCTTATTTTACTAATGTTTCTTAGATGGTAATAACAGAGTTTACAGATATTGTTAATTTGGGCATTCATAGACATATAATCGTCAAAAAGTACACCAATATTTCGGGCGGATTCAACCGGACAGATAGTATGGGAACCGATTTGTATACTTGTATCACCCCCCGCTTCTGCTTTACTTAAAGAAGATTTTGTTCCTAATAGGAGATACTCAGTTTTATCGTCGTTGAGTTTCAAGAAATTAGTACGCATCCAACATTTAATTTCACTGATACACTGTTCAAGTTTTGCCTTCGAAGAATTAATATCGCATGGTTTAAATGCTATGTAGAGTTGCGTATCGTCAGCATATAGATGGAAACCAACGCCATACCTTTGCACAATTTTACCGAGCGGAGTCGTGTAAACGGTGAAGAGGATTGGACCCAAAATTGAGCCTTGAGGCACACCATACTTAACATCCGTCGAGTTAGATAGTTTTCCATGGATTAACACTGACTGCCTTCTACCAGCTAGATACGAACGGAACATTTCAAGCACTGTACCGTGAACACAGAATTCAGATTTCAGACGTGACAGCAAGGTATCATGGTCCACCGTGTCAAAAGCTGTTTATAGGAGAACATTATACACTAGGGACCGGGTATCATTCAGATTTGATGAAAAAAGGAAAGAAACTGAGCTTACCATCTAGAATCTAATACACGTATCCAATAGATTGCCATCCAGAAAATATTAAATGCCATCAAGATTCATCAAAAAAACGCCTAGTTTCTGCTACCATGTAGTTTAAGAAACACTGTTTAGTTTTGACATTGGTTGTCTAGTTTTGATATTGGTCGTCTGGTTTATGACCATTTAGTTTCATAAACTAGACGACTGATGTCAAAACTAAAGTGTGTTTCTTAAAGTTGCAATTGCAAATTTTATTTTCAAGTTATATTTTAGTCCTACCTTGTTAAAGAATAATCCTATTAATCCTATAATTCAGTATTGCCAGCTGAGAAATTGGCAAAAATATCATTTTTAACTTCAAATTCCAACGTTGGAAAATGGCTGCCCCATGTTGTCAATAGCAAAACAGGGGAGGTAATTGTGTTGTTATTTCCTGTGTCATAGATTTTTAAGGGTGGGAAATAATGCCCATGATCGTATAATAGTGATTTGATAACCTATTGAGCAAAAGACATAGAAATAATTATGTTTTGACTTTCTTAGAAAATTTGAAATTCTCTCTTTAAACTACACGTAGCACAAACTGGACGTTTTTTGATGAATCTTGACGACGGCATTTAACACTTTTTGGATGGCAATCTATTAACTGGATACGAGTATTAGATTCTAGATGGTAAGCTCAGTTTCTTTCCTTATTTCGTCAAATCTGAATGATACCCGGTCCCTAGTGATAAAGTGCAGATGATATCTAAATACATCAATACATTGTAAATGGAGCAGGATACTACTTATCTCAAACTAAAATACTAACTTATCAGGTGACCACTAATACCCTACTAAATAAACCAGAATCAAGGAACTGGTCAACTCAACAGATGTTCAATATGTAATTTAATGGAAATCAAATTAAATACGTAACATGGCTGTGGGCTACTTTGTTATGTGGAAATCTTAATTTGCCTGCATGTACCAAATCCAATCATTGCTGCAACACAAAATTTTTGATTTTAAAATTTAGTGGTTTTAAAGAAGCAAATCAAAACCAATAAGTAATTAAATTTACAGAAAAGTTTCTCACACGCTATAAAAATGCAACTCAATTTGAAAGATAACAAGTCAATACTATCCTTTTGTGGCTTCTACATATTAAGGAACTTTGAAGATTAACGTGAATCTCTCAATTCTCTGCTTTGTTTTATTTTGTCCAGCTTAAAATGTCTAGCTTTGCCATGGTTATTGTCAAAATAGAATACCAAATTTAATTGTCCTTACAGAGAAAAGTGATATTTTAGCAAGAAACATTTATTGATAACTAAGATAATTTATAATTGCCATACTCAAACATACACCCAAAGCAGCTTAGTCACCCAAGAAGTCCATAAGTAAAATCTTTATAAGATTCTATGACATAATTAAAGGAAGGAACTCTTAAATTGTTGTAATTGACATTCATATTAATCAAACAAAGCATGATAAATTTTAAGTAGATTAGGTGATAACTTCTTTGGATAAAGTATTTACAAAGTAGTACAAAGTGAGCGAATCAATAATTTTGGAGGTAATGAACATAATTATGAACATTAATAAATCTAATATGGATCAGATGACATTTTTTACTACAAGATTTTCCAAAGAAAACAAGTGCTGAAACTCTAGAAATAATTATTGTTAATTGTTAAAATTCAACACCATATAAATTTTAAGCAGATCTGACAATAGCATTTGTCCCTTAAGTGTTCACAGGATTTTACAAATTGAACAAGGCCACGCAACTCTAGGATCAACAAATGGAAATTGTTCAATTTAAACAGTCATTTTCATTTCACTAATTTGAATAACTGTAGTTGTTAAGATAATACAAAGAGATCAATATTCAAAGGCAATAACTGAAATTCAATAGGTTTCTTCATCTCACTAATGACGTAAACATAAATTTCCAACCCTGTACACCTGGTTACAATTAGTAACCCATTTTAGTAGAAGGACTGATAGATAACAATACAGTATAGTTTCACATGGTTAATAAAATTATTTTGTCATTATACCGATAGAGTGAGTAATGTATTTTCATCTTTTATGGATTATATCATACTATCCAGCTGTGACACTATTATTTTTAGAGATTTTAATGTTGATCTTAATTATCCACTGGATGGAGTTCAATTATTCTGATATTTTAGAGATCTTCTTAAACAACAAAAAGCATACCCAATAATCTCAACAGAAAATATTTATGATAGATTCGTTCTGTAAAACATAAAACTACAGGAAATGTCAGTTAAAGTATTGCCAATAAGACAAACCCACACACTCCAGAATCTCACCCAAAACAATTCATGACATTCTGTAAAACATAAAACTACTACATGAAGTGCTAGATAAAATATTGCAGTAAAAACAAAGATGGGTTACCAGGCATTGAAATATATGTCCAATGCAGCTAAGTCGCCTGAGCAGTCCACAAAGGTTATCACAAATATATTCTTTTGTTGATAATTTTTTAGTTTAAATTACCAACTATCAACTTTGTTTTACCCATTTCCCAGATCCTATAAATCGATCCTTGCATTGATTTCTGCAGAAAAATTCTGTACCAAAATTCGGGTACTTACAACAGTCCGAATCAGCATTATTTTCTTAGAAATAGAGAGAGAATACAATCAAGCTCTCGCCACTTTCAAAGCTGTTCCTTTCCCCACGACATACCTTCATGTAACCATGTCACATCCAGTAAGAGCATGAGCTGGCAGGATTTCAATGATAATTGACATGTGTTTCTCCATAGTTTGACCAATGTCAACGGTTGTTCTTTCCTTGTCAGTGATTCCATTGTAACCCGAGTCTTGTCAGCTTGTTTTGGACAGAGCTCTTGCAAATCAATGTCTGAAAAAAGCTGGAGGGTATAGCCATCCAAAACTTTCAAATGTATTGTCATCATTCCCACCTAAACCATGTAGTCTTGCTCAACGAATGATGCATTTGTAGGGAACATAAAAGGATGTCACCGCCAAGCTATTGTGAGGCATTCACTGGAAGATCGTAATATGCCGAAACTGTATTTGCTTGGTTAAGGACACTAAATTGAGAACATTAAAACTGGTCAACTTGCTCCAGTCTGTCATTTGGCTAATCATTTGTGGAAGTAAGAGTGACACCCCATGTAGTATACTTGCTTGTAGCTGCACTATGGATGGCTTAGAATGTACAGTATTTTGTGCGTGTGCTATCGCAGATTGCAGCCAGAAACACAACTAAAGGATTAAACTGAATACTATTTAGTTTTGTGGGGGTTATTTTCAGGTTTTGTGGGTAGAATTTGATTTTTTAAAAGTTAAAAAAAAAAGCATGTGTCCCATTTTCAGGACCAACCCATGTGTCATGTATGTGGTGTTATTGTATTACTCATTTGCTCCTATGTCCATAAATATATAGTTTGTCTCTAGATATAGCTTGGTTTGGTGGGTGAAATAATCAACCCCAACCACCA